CAGCTGCAAAGCTTTCCTCATCAGGAGCTCCTGCCTCAGCTGCAAAGACTTCCTCATCAGAAGCTCCTGCCTCAGCTGCAGCTCCTGCCTCAGCTTCAAAGCTTTCCTCATCAGGAGCTCCTGCCTCAGCTGCAGGATCCTGTAACTCAGAATCAGGAACCTGGGGCAGAAAGATCACATTCCAGGACCCCCCATTTCCAGTTATTTCTTGGGGGATCAAACTTCGGTTTAAATATTCAGTGAACTCCACCAAAGCAACTCTACAACCAATCTCCTTTCTGAAGACCCTGCAGAGCACTCGGTATCTGCCCAAAGGCCTCAGTGCAACCTGCAGTGTCTCTTGAAACTCAACTTCCTCACACTCATCAGGGATGCCCATGATGAGCAAGCAGCGCTGAGCATTCACACCCATCCATCTGCACCAGTCACGCAATATGGACTGCCCCACACTAGGGGTGCTGGGTGAAGGGAACATGACTGCACAGGATAGCAACTGACTTGCAGTCTCAGGTGTAGCCTGTGGATAAAAAAGCAAGAGAGATGTTGGTGTCACTTAATATAGCTCCCCAGACCACTGCCTCAACAGCCTCAAGACCAGGAGTTTGTCCTCTTCTGTTGTGCTGTTTGACTTTTAAGAAAGTTTTTTGGTAACAAAATTTATAGGGATATCTGTACTTTTTATTTCATCTGGTGGCAGTTTAGTAAGTTGCTCGCCCCAATTTGAAAGCATCCAAGCTTTTCACATTTTTGCATATACACACTTAATATTTTTGTTGCCTGTATGACATAATACCCCTTCTTTCATACTTGGTGTTGGTCATAAATACCTTATTACTAGCATTTACCAATTGTCGTAACTAATTCTGGTCCTCTGTGTAGCTATCACTGCCTCTTCTATCTTTTCTTCATTTGACTTTTTAACTTACTCTTGCTCTTCTACCTTCTCTAACAACCATTTAAAGCAATAAAATTTCCTCTGGTTATTTTAGCTGCCTCATAATTTTGGTGAAAGGGGCCAAGAAGATGGCTCAGGGGAATACGTACTTCCCTGGCAAGTAAAGAGCCTGAGTTCAATCCCCAGTTCCGCCAAAAAATAAAAAAAAATAATTTCGGTGAATTGTAATTTTTTTGAAATTACAGTTTTTAGTCTGAAATACTTTCTAAATTTCTGATTTCTTCTCTGACCTATAAACTTCCAAATATTTAGAGATGTTATCAATTTCAAATAAAGTTCTAGTGTGATCAGAACTTAAAACTTATGAAAACATGTTACGGGCACTGAGGATTGAATCCTTCACCTTTACCCTGAGCATGTATACATCCCCAGCCATTTTCTACGTTTTATATTTTTGAGACAAGGTCTCATGAAATTGCCTAGGCTACTCTAACTTATGGGTTCAAATGATTCTCCTGCCTTAGTCTCCTGGGAAGCTGGGGCTACAGATACACACACTACTGTACTCAGCTTAGGACAACTTTATGATCCAACATATGGTACACCTAGACAAATGTACACTGTACCTATCCCCCTCCTGGGCCTCAGGTTTCACGCCCTCCTCCCAGGTACTCAGAGCCAGCCACTTGGCAGCACACAGCCCCAAATGCAGGTACCAAACAGGGAGCCCCCCACATGCACAGATACTAGCTTTCTGGCTTGGCCTTCCTTCTCAGGCTCCACATACCTGCTGTAGCCAGCAGTCGTCCACTAGACTAGTTGTCTCAAAAGAGCACCCTCTGTTCCAGGGCTCCAAAGCGCTTACAAGTTCGGTCTCCCTTAAAAAAAAAAAAAAAAAGTTAATGCCTCCCTTTGGACAGGAGACCCTCCCATTAATGCACGGGAAGGGAGATTAGGGGTCCTCACCCTCCTTCCAAGCCCAGAACCCTCCCCGCCCACTCTCCCATCTCAAAGCCCGATGCCCTAGGTGTGAGTTTGCCAGCTCTCTCCATGTTTGCCGGCCTCATGTCCTGACCCTAGTGCACTCTTGCCAGTTTGTCTCCTAGAAACCAAGTGTTCCAAGTCCCACAGAGTGGCGCTGTGTTCCCCCGACGCCTGTACATACCACAGACTTGCTGCCTCCCCCCGTACTCCATAGCCTCCCTTCCTACTAGGCAAAGAAGCCAAGCACCCCTGCAGGATTTCCCCAAAGCCAAAAGCCCACACTCAAGTCTCCACTTATGACACCCTCGGTGGTTGGCGGTCTCCCGCTTGCCTATAAGGTCGCTTGCTGGCTAGCTTCACTTCCCTGTATGATCTTCCACTTCCCTTCGGGTCCTCGATGCCAACACCACAGCATGACTCCCAAGAAGGGGACCCCCAGTCTCCCCACTCTTAATGATTTCTTTTACTGCTGTAGCGCCTTGCTGCCATCCCTTAGAGCACGTGGACCTCCCTTCTCAGCCATGCCTCCTCCTCCAGCCTGGCCGGCACCCTACCAGACATAAGATGAGTGCCTCCCCCGGTCCGGCCTTCTTTCTTACCACGAAGCCACTGACCTGCCACCTTCAAGCCCATTCCATGGTGCCAACCGCACTCCACTGGACGCTCAGACCCTGTTTTCTAGGTAGCGCCACGCCCGACCATGTGGCGCCCCCCTCGAATCCCTCCGCGCTCCACCTGCCCGCCCACCACTTTCCAGGGCGGAGTGCGCAGTGCGCCCTCTCCAAACCGCTCCGAGCCCAGCGACCTCTTCCTGCTCACCCCCTCCCACTCTCCCAGCACCACACTCCATCCATCCACAACTCACTCGCGGACCTCCCTCAGGCCCACCCCCTCCGTGTCTGTGGCCGCCATACTCGGGAACTCCGGCACCACGTGGCCCCTCCATCCCTCCACACTTGGCTACCTCCATTCCTGTCTGCCACAGCCAAAGCCACGCCCGAGGCAGACTCTGACCCCGACAACCACAGGCACTCTCAGGACGTCCCCCCCCCCCCCCCCCTTGCGCCCTCCTTCCCCATCCACTGCCTCCATCTTGGTCGGTTACGCCGTCTTTCTGGAGCCACACTCAACCTGCCTTACCGCCACAACCAAGGCCCCCCGCACGTGGCTCCTGGGTCCCCAAGGACTCGGCGACCTCTTCCCAATTGACACTTCCTACTCTCAACCCCGCATTGTCTTCCTCAGGTCCTCCGTGACCTATTCTCACCCCCGTTCTCCAAGTCGGACTCTGTCTCCCCGCCCATCCCCAGCTCAGCCCCTCGGCGCTCGGCAACATCCTATCCTGCCGCCATCTTCACGTCCGATGCCGGCTCCGCCCCGTTCCCCGCCCGGCCCACCAACCCAGCCACCCAGCTAGTCCCTCTACCCTCAACGACCACCTTTCAAATTCAACGGCCGCAGCACCTTCCATGAGCCACTCCGCACTCGGCAACCTCCCTTCCCACCTGCACCTCCTCCACCAGTGGTCCAGCCTCCTTTCTTGCCACTGACCTGCCATCTTAAAGCACACTCCATGGTGCCAACCAACCGCACACCACTGAACGCTCAGACCGTTTTCTAGCTAGCGCCACGCCAGGCCATGTGGCGCCCCCCTCGAATCCCTCCGCGCTCCACCTGCCCGCCCACCACTTCCCAGGGCGGAGTGCGCAGTGCGCCCTCCCCAAACCGCTCCGCGCCCAGCGACCTCTTCCTGCTCACCCCCTCCCACTCTCCCAGCGCCACACTCCATCCATCCATGACGACTCACTCGCAGACCTCCCTCAAGCCCACACCCTCTGTGTCTGTGGCCGCCGTGCCCGGGAACTCCGGCACCTCAGAGACCTCCTTTCCCACGTGACACCTCAAAGTCTGACCACCGCGTGGCCTCTCCGTCCCTCCATACTTGGCTACCTCCACTCCTGTCTACCACAGCCAAAGCCACGCCCAAAGCAGACTCGAGGTTCTACTCTCGGGACGTCCCCCCCACCTCTCCCCCTTGCGCCCTCCTTCCCCATCCACTGCCTCCATCTTGGACGGTTACACCATCTTTCTGGAGCCACACTCAACCTGCCTTCCTCACGGCCCTGCCAAGGCCCCACACGTGGCTGCCGGGTCTCCAAGGCCTCAGCGACCTCTACCCGCTCGACACTTCGTACTCTCGGCCCGTGTTGCCTTCCTCAGGCCGTCCACGACCTCTTCCCGCCCAAGTCCTCCAAATCGGACTCAAGTCTCCCCACCCATCCCCAGCTCAGCCCCTCGACAACGTCCTTTCCTGCCGCCATCTTCACATCCGACGCCCGTGCCGCCCCTGGCCCTTGCGGGACCGCCACCTCCCGGGCCATCTCTTGGTCGCTCCAGCCTGCCTCTGCAGCCGCCACCTCCAGCCACTCGTTCAGCAACCTCCCGACGCTGTGCTGCCCACCGCCACCTCCCGCCCGGCGGCCAGGCCGCAACCACCTTGCCATCCCGCCGCGCTGCCTCGGTGGCCTCGTCTCCAGCCCTTGGGCGTGCTCGCCTGGCCCCGGAGCCGCCCGCCGGGCCGCAGCATCCCTTGCGCGCTGTTCTCCCGGACCCGCCGCGCCCGCGTCCACCTCAGGTGCCGTCTCCTCCGCGCCTCCGAGCCGGCCACTGCGCCCACAGTTCCCTCCTCAGCCAGGGCCCTTCGAAGGAACCCTTGCCCCGCCGCGGGACCCTGGAGAACCAGGCCGCAGCCCGAAGCACTGGTCCGCTCACTTTATCTGCCAGGAGTCCAGGCTCTGCCGTCCAAGACAAGGATGGCAAGAGTTCGAGGAGCGTCCGCAGCTCGCCGCAGACAGACCCTCAAATGGGCCGGTTGCTGGGTGAGCTCCCAGGTATCCCTGGGGCTGGGACACGCCCCCTGCAACGGCAAACGAAGGTTCCAGAACCTTCTGTGGGAAGGGCGCGCAGGATGGGGGGAGAATAGGGGAGGGGGAGAATAGGGGAGGGGCTGCGGTCTCACGGGGCCGCACCTGCGCACTGAGAGCTTGACCCAAGGTGCCACACCCCTCGGGAACATTCAATTCCTTGCTCCCCAACCCCATAAAGGGCCTATCAGCAGGCAGGGCGGCTCCAACCTTGGTGCCGCTGCTTGTAAGGCTGAGGCAGAAAGAGGCGCCGAAACCCATAGTTCGAGCCCAACCAGGCTATTTTAGGGCATAGCAAGACCTCCGTCTCAAAATGAAATAAATAAGTGGGGGAATATATGTTATTGCAAAAGCCTTGGGCTCAATCCCCCCTACCAGAATTTTTTAAAAAGAAAAAACATCAAGCCAAATGTGGTAGTGTGCCCCCCCCCCAAAAAAAATGGTGGTGGAGCTCAGTGAGAAGACCCAGGGTTAAATACACAGTATGGCAAAAAAAAAAAAAAAATTGATTTTAAAGTTAAAAGCCCGGGCCGGGGAGATGGCTCAGTGGAATAAGCTCTTCCTGGCAAGTGCAAGGTCCTGAGTTCAAACCCCTGTTCCGCCAATAAATTAATTAATTAATTAAAGTTAAAAGCCCCATAACCAAGGCTGGGATTGGGAAAGTAAATGAAT